TTTCGACGATTGAGGCATTAGCTTCCTCATAGTTAATTTCCTCAATAAGCAAGCACAACCAGTGGCACAACGGACATCCCTTAAGGTGGCACAAATAAAGAAAGGGTCACTTATTAATCTTGGAGGGCAAGGTAGTTTGTTGACTGATAAAGAAGACTCACCATTTAACAGCTCGCTGGAACATAATTTGATATCTAAAGACCAACAAGTTTCTAACTGATGAGAAGATTTCATACCTGTAATAAATCATTTATTCAAATTAAATAGCAAAAACAGGGATGTTTCCTATTATTTTATGCAAGTGACTCCACTAAGCATACATGATCTGACAAAATTTGTTATTCATGCTCGGTTCTGGGACATTTAGTATTCAACACACTAATACACAGTAAGTAATGTATGTATCAAATATTGTGTACCGGTACCATATAAGATTTCCTTGCTGTATGTCAGGAATTGCAGGGTATCTATTGTTTTAAATAAACTTTTAAATGTAGTGACTTACCATTTTTAAAAGTACTTGGTTTGTTGGATTGGTTAGCATAAATTATGACAACTCTGGATGGTCATTCATTCAAATCACAATCACCAAATATAGATGAAGTTTGTTAAATCAGGGTTAGTGGATTCACCTGCAAAAAAAAAGAAACTTAACATTATAATCTGCATTTGATTCATGTCAAAAGTTTTCTTTCACTTGCACCAGACTCTTAATTAAGGGACTACATCCCTTCAGTAACAGAAAGTCCCCTTACAAAAATTCACAAGATTCCCCCTTGCTTAAACCTAGGCCAGTTCGAATACCTGAGCAATAATTCAAGTAGTTTTCAGAAAACCAGAAAGTTAATTATGAAAAAACTCACCATATATAAAAAAAGATCTATTTGTCAAAGGGCTGTCATACTTTTCTCATAAATCACAAGACAAAAATCTGAATTCTCACAATAGGAAGCTTGCATAGATATGACCTAATAACCATCCCCACCGCCTAATTCGAAACCTGTCTACCCTCACCTCACCTTAATATCTATAGGACATCATCCCTTTAATACCCCCCACTCCCTAATTCTAAACCTGTTTACCCTCATCTCTACCTTAATGTCACTAAACTAACAATTATAGGACACCACCCCTTTAACTCCCCCACCCCCTAATTCTAAACCTTTCTACCCTCATCTCTACCTTTATTTCTTATTATAAACTAACAATTATAGGACACCATCCCTTAATACCCCCACCCCCTAATTGTAAACCTGTCTATCCTCATCCCTACCTTAATACCATATTCCAAAACAACAAATATAGGCCATCCTCTCTTTATTACCCCCACCCCCTAATCCTAAACCAGACTGCCCTCATCTCTGAAGGGTACAAATTACTTTGTTTCTTTTGCTCTATGGGCCTAAATTGCACAGCAGTTTAAAATTTTGTATAGCACTTTTTAACGTATGAAGTACGGTATGTAAAGGTTCTGAAGAGTATCATTAAACTAAATGATTCTTGAATTGTAATTTAAATACCAGTGCAAAATATAAAAACAAACAATTTGGCCATAATGATACTCCTGATATCTTCCATGTTATTCTTTTTAAGTCATGAAACAACTTATATTTGTCATATTTAATCTCGTGACATTGAGTCTAAATTTTCAAGGTCACGCGCGTAAGAATCTAGATTGAGAAAAGTCCAAAATAACCGATAATATTTAAACCTCGAGTATTATAAAATATATACATGTATATAACTGTGCACTTGATAACGTCAATTTCAAAGAGACTAGATATTGTTAGATTTGGCAAAAGTCTAGTTTTAGTGGAATCCGAAATAATAAAACAGAGGTCTGACTGAAAATTGGAATGGTACAAATCGATGCTATCGGTGTCCCTATTTCTAGAAAACCAGTTCATATTCCTTACAAGTTTCCAATCAAAATCTGAATGAAGAAAATGGCTAACCTACTTGTGAATAAGTGTCCAATATTTGTCACTCCTTCCAAAAGTGTCATCGTTGAATCCATTATTTTATAGAAAAATCACAAAATAATGTTAAACCATCAACAATAATACAGATTGTATCAAATAAATCCCAATCCACAGATATTAGTCAAAGATTTATCGAAATAATTCAAAACCATCCAGAATCCAATACAGAATATATCATAAGTCATAAGTCACGACTGATAATACCGAAATTCCGCTCAGAAATGTGCACCCTTGGATATGAAAACGATGATTTTAGGTTAAAATCCTCCCACTTTTTGACTGACAATTGGAATTTCAGCCAATCAGCAGCCAAAATTCTGCATCCACGTGCTCTACGTGTCAACTCTTCCCGCCAAAAAATTGTTTTGAGTTTCTGATGGTTTTAAACTGTCACCTTCTCGTCAATTTGGTGAAAGTTGAAAAATTATTAAAAGAAAAAATCCACCAATATTTCAGAGTGGCTGGTTGAAAGAATTTTGAATAGCGGTACAGGACTTAAAAATCCTTTGTAAAGTCTAAAACATGTTCAAAAATCTTATGATCAACGAATAAAGTATATTTCGTTAAGTTACCGAGGGAAAAAATTGGCAAAATCACATGTTTGTGAAGTAAATTACATGGAAGGGGACCTTTAATTTAATTCTTGACAGAACAAAAAACATGATTGCTAGGTTCGCGCCTACGCGTGTTTTGCTACGTTCGAGACGAGTGGTACAAATAAGGGACAGAATGACTCAAATATTTTAGAACACATTTATAATTTTTAGGTTTATTAGTGTAAACTTATGTTAGTGAACTAAATGTTGGATAATGGTACATCGAGAAAAGGGTGACGTCAAATTTTAAGTTATAATAACACTGCAAAATCAATTGATGTGATTTAATTATTAGTGGTCACTGACAAATAACCCATCATGCCCATGGAATTGAGAACAATATGTTCCAGGAGGTTCTATCAGTTCCCATTATTAGGATTCCTTCCCCAAGAGGCTTCTTACTACAGGCTCAGTGTTAGGCCGTTAGATTTTCATACAGTCGTAGTCAGTTGGCTTAACTAAATGCCAAGGGAAGTCTCTGTGGTAGTTTAGACACTGGTTGCAACGTTAGCGAAATTGGAACAATGTGGAAAATAATGATTTGAGTATTACTGTATTATCTTTTCAAAGCAAAAGACCGACATTCTAGGCCCAGAATTCAATTGAAGGCTCTATGCCCCTTTTCCAAATTCTGGGTTACCCCCGTTTTCAGAATTTATAGATTTCCCCCTGTCAATCAATTTCCCCCTGTTGATGGTGATAATAAACTACTTAATAATTAAATATCATTTGATTAGTAAAATGACCCTACACGAAACAAAATTGTTTCGAATTATTCATTCGTCGTCATTCCCAAATTTGTGCACGGCCTTTGACAGAATTGAGTCTCGTTTTATGTCTTTCTGACCCAATTCGGACAGTTCGGAATTTTACACCCACCAGATCTTGATGAGATGTTATTCATTATTGCCTGTCGAGCCAACTAAGGCGTCTATCTAGTCCATGTAGCACCACAATGGTTTACAAATTAATACAATGACAAAGGTTGTCTTGATCTCTCTCCCTTCTTAGATTAATTGAATACCCTTATTTTCCGATGTACAAAACATTAAATTTGGCAAAACAAGACACATTTGAAAGCGTCATAGGAAGAATGTGGGGAATGCTCAAGAGCTTGGTGAAGGGGTTGTATTAGGTGATACACTTTTTCCAAACATTATCCTCAAACGACACTTTAGGGTAGGGTCACATTAAATAACTGAACACAATCTTATGGTATATTACTTGGCGATTATTACTATAGAACTTGGCGATTGTCTACCATAACTACATCTTTATGAATTTTATATATTATAGGAATGTAAGAACACAGTTAAATAAAACACCTATATTATATTTATGTAAGTAAGACTACAGTTATATAAAACACCTGTAGTATATGTCTGTCAACACACAACCATATTAAACACCTATATTATATGTCTGTCAAAACACAGTTATATTAAACACCTATATTATAGGAATGTAAGAACACAGTTATATTAAACACCTATATTATATGTATGTAAAATTACAGTTATGCCTATATAAAACACCTATATTATATGTATGTAAAATTACAGTTATGCCTATATAAAACACCTATATTATATGTATGTAAAATTACAGTTATGCCTATATAAAACACCTATATTATATGTATGTAAAATTACAGTTATGCCTATATAAAACACCTATATTATATGTATGTAAAATTACAGTTATGCCTATATAAAACACCTATATTATATGTATGTAAGATTACAGTTAGGCCTATATAAAACACCTATATTATATGTATGTTAAAACAAAATCACATTAAACACCTTTACTGAACAGATAAAGAAATGTCGCATTTTTAGATTATTTGGACAATGTCGTGCTGCATCACAATTGTTATTTTCCTTTATAAATATGATTTTAAATAGGCCAGTTTATGACATTCAACTGATAATATCGGTTGCGTTCGATTTATGAGTTGTGAACCTTGGTAACTGTCCGTGGAAGCAAGATGCGGAGGAAAATCGAAATGCACGTGCAATACGTACCAGTGTTCTGTATAAAAAAAACTGACACCGACTGAGAATTCAATTGCTGCGAAGACAGCAAGTTCATGGCACGTCTAACCTCCCAACAACGTGAACACACCATCGGAAGATTAAATTCTGGACAACGTTCTCAAGTCATTGCCAATGCATTTAATTGGAGTCTACGAACCATTGAGAGATTTCGGATTCATTACAACACCACCAACAGCACTGATGACCGTCCACGTAGTGATCGTCCCAGAGTCACAACACCAAGACAGGATAGCTTTATCCTGCGGCAACATCTGCATGACAGATTCACCACAGCGGTGAAACCATTGGCCACCATCAGTGCTGATACCGTTCGAAATCGGCTCGCCTCCATGAACCTGTCTTGTGGCCGTCCATACAGGGAATTAGAAATCTAAATAATCATGTATATAATATGGTGGTAGGTAATCTTTGACAACATCCAGGGTGTATTTCATCAATAATTCTTGTTTCTCTGTATTCCTGGAAAATATTTCAACCAATTAAAATCTTCAATGTTTTATCAGTGTCCGCTAAATGTGAGGTTTACTCCGACTTAACTCGATCATCCTCGGGTGGAATGGAAAACAGTTAAACAGAATAATACATTGATACGATACTGGTGGAAGTCGAAAATGAATAGACTAATCTGCGCACATGTTTATAAGATTCTTTCATGGGGCAGTGTAAGAGCTTCAGAATTAAATATTTCACCTACCTGGATAGACTTGATGGAGATTTAATTTTACATACATCAAGATAAATATCTGATCGACCTTGAAAATTTAGGTCTACTGCAGCTTTTATTGTTGTAGCACCACAATCAACAGCCTTTTTGGCAAAACCTGAATGCAAAAGTATCCTTTTATCAAAAATAACCAATTATGTAATGTAATGTACCGAATGAGCAATATTAGCTGTTTAGAATCAGGGATACCTGCACATGCAGGACGGTGTTCCAAAATAGTTAGCATGTCCCCATCATTGTTGAAGTATCCTTGATTATCATAGCCGAATTGTTTTTCATAATTCTTGGAAAATATACGAAATACTTAATATATTTACTCTGCCAGGTCATTTGAGTATCAACAAAACCTGGATGTAAACTTATTATAGACACTGATTTATCTTTTAAATGTCTGCTTAACCAAATCATTGACATAACCTTAAGAAAAGAAACAAAAATCAATGCCTTCTTTTTCTTCAAAGGAGGTTTGTTTGAAGGATAGCCTGGTAGACTATGAGAACAAATGCTTTTTATGGACTGAAAACAACTGGCGATTCGAGGAGAATCTGGTCAATTCCACATGAAGTCAAACCAAGCGCACCAACAGCTTTTGCCGCCAGATGCAATAGTTGTCCATGTTACACTTTTTAACAGAATTTGGATCTAGTTTATACCAAAGCGGTTGGAGTTTGGGACCATTCGGTTGATCGTAAGTAATTGATCTGATGAAATGCTGTCAATCGTTAGTCGACTTGAGTTCCTGTTTAAGTTTGATCTACACCTACACATTGATGTGAATAAAATGATTACCTGATAAAGTTTAGAATTGCAATAGAAGGACAATTGACCAAAGCTCTTTTCTCCATCCATGTTTTCTATATCCAGTTTCTCATTCGTATGCCCAATAGACTACACATTAACCGCCCTACTGTCTTCACCAGATTTCAGTGGGTAATAATTGTACAGTTATAAAGAAATGAGATAAAAAAAAATTGGCTTGAAACATCAACTGGTGGTTATCTTCTGTAATTTCTACAAAAGAAAATAACAAAGATGTTATTGGTTGGCACAAAATAAATAAAAAAGTCGTTTTGTAAAGTTCAGAAAGTTGTGCTACAATATTACACAAGTTATTGCCTTGCAAGATACGCCCACTTCTTTGATAAATTTTCAGTATATCAAGGGCGGACGTCAATCTGTGTCAAATCGTACCAAAATCTTGTCCAAGATACTGTTGATTTAAACACAAAATTTCATTCTGATTCTGTATTCTGTCTTAAAATGTCATCGTTTCGCATTCACAAGCCACATTTAACATAATTTTTGTTTATCATTAAAATCAGATAAAAAACTGTCGTCTGTATTGTGCTTATGAACAAATTTTTGTGCATTTTACTAAGTCAAATTTGAACATGATCAAGATCTCAATGTTACAGATGATCAAACCAAATTTCATTAAAGTCAGATGAAAACTGTAGTTTCTATAATGTTCACAAACGCGTGTTTACTATGTCAAGGGCAATAACTTCGCACCTGATCAAGACCTCATCATTATAAATGATAAGAGCGAATTTCAATAAAATCAGATGAAAACTGTATCCTCCATTGTGTTCAAAAACAAATTTGGACGCGTTTTTACCAAGTCAAGGGCAATAACTAAAGGACAGTTTATCGAAAAATCGTCAAATTCCAACTTGACCAAGATCTCATCAATATAAGAGATCACACCAAATTTCATAAACAAAAATCAGATAAAAACTGTTACCTCCGTACAAAAAGGAAGGGAGACATCAAC